TTCTTCAAGTTGAGTTTGAATCCTGCACATGTCAGTCTGGTCACCACCTCGTCCAAAGTTTTCAGGTGTTCGTTTTCACAATCATGCGTGAAAAATATGTCATCAATATATTGAACGACAGGTAAACCTTCCAGATATGACTGTACGACACTTTGAAATTTATTCGCCGCATTTACCCATCCCATAGGTAGGACGCACCATTGAAAATGCTTTCCTTCAAATGTAAATCCAGTCTTAGCTCGACTTTCTTGCGCTAAAGGTACAGACCAAAAACCGTTAGCCAAATCGATGCATGTTTTATATTTTTTAATAGGCATGGTTCGGAGCTGCATGTATGGGTCAAAAGTTTTACGCACGTCGTGCGGAGTCACTCTATTTAAACCTTTTAAATTGTGTACCAGTCTGTAGGTGCCATCAGGTTTAGGAACAGCTTGAATGGGAAGACAGGTGGATAATGTATCTTTCTCTTCGATTATCCCTTTTTCTTTAAGCTCAGCGAGAGTACATCTGATCTCATCTCTTCCTTCTCTGATCGGATACTGCTTTTCCCTGGCAGGCATCGCTCCTTTAATAATGCATTGTTCTTTTACTCTGCCACAATCATTTTTGTGTGTAGCCCAATTACCTTTTTGGATTATTTCTCTGAGTTTGTGCGGGTTCAAACTAGTCTTCTCCAGTTGTTCTTTAATGAGACTATCCATATCTAATTCACCTAAAAAACTCACATGCAGTGCTGGGTCTTTCGTTATTTTAACCAAATCCTTTAAACTAATTAAGTTTTCTGCACCTTTTATGTAAAGAATTCCCTGTTCATCTTTATGAACTGCCATGTTACGTACAGAGCCGTCTGCGAGTATCACATTCTTGTATCCTATTTGTTCCATCGGATTATTTTCACGCTTTACTGATATTAATGCCCCGGTATCTAAAATGTATTTTGTATTTTCGTATTTTACTTTAAGCCACTCCCCATCCCAATGCGTATGAGATGAGAGCGCCTCAATTATTTCTACTTTTGTGGTGGCGGTCTTCTCTGATTGTGGTATTTCGCGTCCCAATCTTTGATTGATTGGATCAATTTCTCCTTCTGTTCTCTGGTCATCCGGGCCCACTCCTCCGGATTCGCTCTCCTGGGTCGAGCCACAGGGCAGCCGGGGGGTCCCATGAAAAACGGCCTTGCATTTGGGTCCATAGTGCGTAAGCTTTTATCAGCCTAAAAGACATAGTTCTACGTCGAATAGTCCGGTATCTAATATTTAAACCTTCGCCGATTAGCCCCACGTTGGGCGCCATGTCGTGTGCCCGTCCCATTTACCGGTTCCTTTAAAACCCAGTTCCGTTAGAACTTATGAGACGGTGCATCCATCAGGGTTCGGGGGTGTATCGACGAGTATAATCGTACCAGACCCGGGTTTGGACTACCTAATTAGAATCTTGTCTTTTATTTTAAAGGTGAAATGACTTGCACGAATAGCCAGCCTCAGAGTGCTACACTTCTTTTAAACTCGTTACCTTTTGGTTAAGATACTAGAGAGAAGTCTGGAGGCAAGCCAAGCCTCTCAGCAATTGTTTGGGCTACCCGGAATTAATTGCGCCCCTAACAGCTTATGTGGGAGGTTGGTAACTATAAAATGATTTATGCTAGTTGATCAGGCTAACATAAGTTTATCAATTTATTTATTAATCCATCCTTCCAGCTGATTAGAGACTTTTTCAACCTGCAATCAGAGCCAAAATAACCTCGAATATTTTGCTTTTATCACCCTTAAGACAACTCGTTACTCGCAAGGGGAGAGAAATTAAAACTTCCCTTATCTTAAGGTTTCTTTATATTATTCTGTTATAAACTGTAAAGTAAGTCCTGATAATTCAGAGACCGATCTTCGACATGCTTACCTCTGTGCAATTATGGCCAGGGCTCCAAACGTGAAGCTTTAGAGAAAACCTGAAAGAATCAGGATTATGTTTCTTTTTCAAAAAAGGTTTATTACAAAATCAAAATACAAAAATGGGTAAAGTGAAAAACAACTACTATCCCCCACGGAGGGATTAGTTCAAAATGATTAAATAAGAGTCAGTTTACACCAGCTCTTGTCTTCTCAGAATCTCCCCAAGAACTGAAGAATAAGACCCCTCTCAAGACCCCCGCTCGATCTGAGCTGCATCCTTTTATATCATTTCTGAGACTGCTCTAAACAATGCAAGAGGCACAAGTCATTCTCTCCTGACAGTTTAGGTCAAGGGGTCATTCACCAGATACACTTTTTTAGCTCTACATAAGACATTTAGTATCATTTCACTACATGCAGTATTCACATGAGGGCACAAAAGTTACATTCTGCACTCCTGGAATGAGAGCACAGGTCATAAATCTTCATATTGGTAGCAAATTGTAGATCTTCTTTCAGCATTCCTGAGAGCTCCTGGGTTCAGCTGGACTTTTTCTCACTCCATGCCAGTCCTTCTTTTCCCGCCAGAGGTGGAGTTAGGGGCGGGCCCAGGGGTGTGTCCATGGGTGGATCTAGAGAAGACAGCTTGTCTTTTGACCCTTTGCCTAGTTCTGTCCTCACCAGCAAGTCCTGAACTCTTGTCCTCTTGACCCTTGTGTGACCCTTGTCTCTGACCACTGTTTCTAAGCCTTGACTGGTTGCTCGGGCTTGCAACAAACCTAAATGCAAATACTATAATGAATAACTGAAACTTTGTGATCATTTGCATCCCATAATGCATAGTCTAAGGAGCTTTGAAAGTAAAGCGTCTGGACTTCTTTGAGTTGCTTGAAGGCGTTTCACCTCTCATCCGAGAGGCTTCTTCAGTTCTAAGGTCAAATGGTGGAGAGTCCCAGATTCGAACCCAGTGGGAGTTTCCCCCCGAAGAGGGAACAAAAGACCCCCTGATGATCTTCTACATAAACACATGAGCCAAGGTGTGAGGGTGGGTGTGGGTCCTATTCAGCCAGAGTTTCGGGTGAGCTCATTGTGAAGCCTGGCCCCACCCTATCTTGTCAATTCCTGAGGTCAGATGGCCCAGGATATGTGTGGGCGTTGAGGCATCTGGGAAGGGATCTCAAAACTGGATTATAGATGGCAGACAGTTGGTGTCGTAAACCACCGCCTCTGTTCAAAGATGGTTGCTCACAGTGGACATGAATTGCTTCCTTTACTCCTCTTTCAAACCATCTGCCCTCTCTGTCCAAAATGTGAACGTTGGCATCCTCGAAAGAGTGACCTTTGTCCTTTAGATGCAAATGAACTGCTGAGTCCTGTCCCGTGGAGGTGGCTCTTCTATGTTGTGCCATGCGCTTGTGAAGTGGCTGTTTGGTTTCTCCGATGTAGAGGTCTGGGCATTCCTCGCTGCACTGTACAGCACACACCACATTGTTCAGTCTGTGTTTAGGAGTTTTGTCTTTCGGGTGAACCAGTTTCTGTCTGAGTGTGTTGCTGGGTCTGAAGTACACTGCTGTGTTTGGAGAAAACCCTCCTGAGTTTCCCTGATACACCGGCTACATAGGGGATGCATAATTATGTCATAGTTTTCAAAGGTCAAATGAGTCAATCATCCGTGTGACTACAATAACAGACATTATTGAGAGAAAAACAGGAAAGGGTGCATGATATTAAGGTAGGATGTGTGTCCTATCTGCTAATGGCTGATTAATAAGAAACGGGGGGGGGGGGGGGGGCTCTAAATCTCTTGCTTGTGAAACACACCCAGTAAAGTCTTTTCTGACCTCCATTGATCATGCTGTGAGGGTCAAGGGGTCAAGAGGGTGGAAGGTAGGACTTACACACTGTTTAGGTGTCAATGTTGAGGATGTTGAAATAATAAACACCCTTTCTGTGTTTCAGAAAGCATTTAAAAAGAAATAAATAAGCGTAATGGCTCTTTGAAGAGCTCGTTCAATAATTACATCTACCCAGCTGTTTTTGCTTTTGTGTCACTGCCCAAAGCTTAACGAACCCTAACCTAAAGGCTGTGGGTGGCACTAAATGCACTATGAATTATTATCGTGTGCTTTTAAAAAAAAACAATACATTCTCATGTTGTTGGCGCAGTGATATTTTGGTTGTGTTGTATTTTTGTGTGTGCGCCCTTTTCCCCCTCCCTCTTTTTGCAGATCTAGACAAATTCTTGCACATCCTTTATGGTTTATTTTTGTGCCCCCTCCCACCTCTTCCTTTCCTCTCTGTGGTGTCTTGTATTTATTTAATGAGGGTGGAACTGACACTTTTGGCTTCATGCTGCCTAATGTTTTGAGATTTGTCAGAACCGGACACCCATTGAATTGTTTCTGTATGAAATGTGCTATAAAAATAAAGCTGCCTTGCCATCTAACCTTTTTTCACTTAATAGTTGTGCACATTGACTCTTGCATTGCTCCCTAATAAATAGACATCATTTGAAAAGCATATTTTTACTGTGATCATTTTTGTGTTTTTATAGAATATTTTGAAACAATCAAGCATGACATAAAAGCCATCTGTGGGCACCATGCTATATAGAAGACGATGTAGCCAATGTATTGTTACTTCATAATTCTGTTTCCAACAACTCGACTTCATCTTGAATTAAATGTTTGGATAAGTGCATTTTTTATTTTTATTTTTTACACAGAACTCAATACTGTAGTTTTTAGTATGTGAAGTACATTTGTGAATACCCAGAGAGATGAGTTCTTGCAAGACACACAAAAAAGGGAAATTTGATTAAGAGGTAGCAAATAATTCTCCTGATTTTAATTTTCTTAGATTTGTATTTGTTCACAGTAAATGTCAAGAGGAGTAACATGTTTTCGTATGTTTGTATGACCCACTGACGGCAGGGCGGAAGCTGTACAGATGAATAAAAGGTATGGATAGGTAAGAGTGGGTGTAATCTGATTAAACCATTAAACCTTAAAGCCTCTACCATCAGCTACGTGCCGCTCAGGCTGTGCTCCGCCCCAAACACGCACGTGCGCCCTGTCAGATTCCCCCCACCCACCCCATCGCTGCTTAAAGGATCGCCAAGCGCATGCGCCAAGGTTTGTAATGCCATCACCAGCATCGTAAAGCGTTTGTTTTACAACCAGACCACCGCCGCCCCGTGTCTAGGAGGACGGACGCTCAGTCAGGCTGACCGGGCACAGCACGCCGACTAACGAGCCCCGGAGGACGGTGAGTCAACGTGGACTAACATGGAGCGTGGACAGTAATATCAAGTTGCAGCGGGGTTTTCTCTCTGCTCACATCTGTAGCTTGATTTTACTGAGATAGGGCGTTACATTAGCTAGCTCTGTAAAGTAGCGTCACGCCGCTACACGCTTCCGCTGTTATTAGAAATGCCTTCACTACGACATGGCACACACGATGACACGACGTTGCTACACGACGTAGTTTCATTCAGGGTGGCGTGGTGTGATGCTGCCCGGTGCTATTTTTACATCCACGTGTGAAGCCCGCGAGGCGTTCGTGTCCGGTTCTGTTCAACAAAGCGCAGTTATGGTTCTTGTGAAGGGCACCGAACCTCTCCGACACCGGTGAGCCTCAAACGGGCCTGAAGCGGCAGCAGAAGGCACCGTCCATGCTCTTTAGTCTCGTTAGTTAGTGGAAACAGCTGAGCCCTTAATTGCTTCCACAAGTTGTGGGTCTAAAAATAAAAGGGTGAGTTTTGGATTCCAAATTTACTCTAAAATGATTTGTGTCATATTTAGTCATGCTTTGTTATTTAATGATAAAACTAGAGCAATAAAAAACCTTCCTACTGGCTAATGAATGAAGGTCACAAGTCTCTGGGGCTTTTATTTTGTAGGAGTGAATCTAAAACGTGTAGGAACCCCTGAAGTCCGAGGCCTCAGAGGTTCCTACATGTCTCAGATTGTTTTTATCATCAGCTTTAAAGCTGGAACAACTGTTTTTAGTTCAGCACATGTGTGGTCCTCCTCTCCATTATCAAGTTTTTAGCCTTTTGTGACCGATTTCCACATAAGTTTGGTACTTTTTCCCCCCACGTTATTTAATGTTCTTGTTCTCCTTACTTTGCTCCTGTTCCCACCATAGAATTCTCATTATTCTTCAGGGCTCCTTACCCTTTAATCACCCTTATAGCTGCATGCTCTTAAAGTACTTCAGGAGTCTTGGTTACTCTCAGAGGAGTTGATGCTGAGCCAAAACCTCAGATTTTCAAACACACTGTCTTGACTCTGATTTCCACTTAAGTGCAGAAGTCCACTTCCCACTGTGGGCTAATGCGTTATCTATTCTGCAGAGCTGCATGACTTGCACTTGCCAGCTCTGGGAGGTCAAACCTCAATGGAAAGATCGCATGACGGCCACATGCACTGGGCCTGCACAGAATCCATTGTCCTCACGGCCCAAGCCCCTTGTTTATTAATAGGTGTGTAACCAGGAGATATTGTCTAATAGTGTTGCAGAAGGCGAATGGCTGCTGTGTCATGTTCCATGTAAAGCACATGCTGCATGCTTCCCTTTGGGCTGTAGCGTTGTCCTCTGACCTTTAGCCTTTGTGAAGGTCAGCGTTGGGTTTCCCTCTAAATGGTTTTGAGTCACTGGAGTGTTTTTGTGTCCAGTGCGTCTGTAAACATTCTGACTTCTGCCTAACTGCTTATGAGGCATTTCTTTCTTTCATTGCATTAGCTCTAACGATTGTTTGAAATAACAGACTGTTATGCACGTGCTGTTCGCAGGCAGATGTTTATGGTGCTTTTTCCTCTTTGCAGATGGAATCCTAGTTCCTTCAGTTATTTTAGTTCTAATCCTCAAAACGCCAGAAACTGAAGTCTGATTTGATGGAATGCGTCGTTTACCAGGAGCTGTACCTGCTTTATTCCAACACAAACAAGCTAGCTTTAAACTGTTATGGAATTGGCTCATTTGGTCTCTGGCCCTGAGCTCGTTGGGTTTTCCCATTCAGGACCCATTTTGTAAGAAAGGAAGTGTTCTGCAGCTCTTCATTGTGCAATCGTTTTATTGTATCTTTATCATTATTGAGACCCACCACTGATTTTAGAAGAGTTAATGGCTCTAATGGGCCATTCCCATCTGTACCTGGTCGGCCCTGCCCGGATAGCTCCAGTCGGCCCCAGCCTGGCCCGGTTGTTTCCACACATCCTTGCTTAGGTATGCAAGGAATGCAGTCAGAGACATTTTCAGCTTCTAGGTAATCAGCATGATAATGAATGATAATGAATTGAGTATGCCTTAAGCCCATGTGGGCTGATAGGACCCACCAATCAGAGGCTTGCTCTAATGGAAGGTGTGAATTTGCTGTCAGCAGTCGGTGTGTTGGCCCTGGTCAGCCTGAAGCAGACAACCTCAGAAAGAGGGCCGTAAAACAGTCTTGTTGCACCCTGAAAAAAGGCAGGCCACCAAGGGAGCGGCCTTTGAAAGTGGAGCTGTAGTCCTGTTTGTTTTTAGGATGAGCCACACCAGGATTCACGCGGCTTTGTGGCACATTTAACTCTTTACATGGATGACGAGGTGTTTTTATGTATACAAGCTTATGAAATCCAGAACTAGTTACATTTCACTCATGGTCTTTTTGTGTAGAGCTTGGGTTCAGGAAACCTTAACAAATTCATGATGCTATAAAGTGCTCTCTTTAATCCTGGATTTTATTGTTGTCTTCCTTCTGGGGTTGTCTCTAGTTTTTAGTTGAAGCTTTACCAGAACTAAGAAGCACCATTTCCTGATGTCGGACAGTCTAAACCATTTAAACGGTGGCACACATTCTACCGTTGCTTGGTTTTGGTGAAACTTCAGGTGACGACTGTTCTTTTACAGTCTGAAGGGGATGTTTGTAACGGCTGAATGGCCTCATTCAGAACTCCTCCTGGAGCAGTCCCACACACATACACACACACACACACACACACACACACACACACACACACACACACACACACACACACACACACACACACACACACACACACACACACACACAGTATATTAGGAATCCCAGGAGGAGTTGGCACCACATACCTAACAGGTTGGCTCTGCTGATCGGTGGGGATATCAGACTTTCATCTCACTTTCCTTACCCTCAGCTTGAACTACTCGGTGCGTTTACATGTACATCTGAAAACGCATTGCCCTCAAAAGACTCATGTCAGTTTTTAAAAATTGCATCAAGTAAACGTTTGTCTGGCTTAAGGCGGACTGGTTCTAATTGAGCTGAAGCACCCAGATAATATGGTGGCAATCAGAATACATCCGGCATGTAAACGGGTCAGCCGGACTAATGGGACGCTTGTGTTCTGAAAGTGACAAGCCTAGGGCTGAACGTTTTTGGAAAATCTAATTGCGATTTTTTTTTTCTTCAATATTTCGATTTAATTCACGATTTTGCTCTCAAGGGGTTTTTCTCATTTTTCATCTAACTGAAGCAAAAACAATCTATGTAACCTGTACTGAATATAAACAAGTTTATGTATCTACATATTTATCTACATATATCAACCAGTTTATTTGTCTACACATACATAAACACTCAAGTAAAGAGAAAATTTTGTATTTACTGTCTTCCTCATGGAACATCAAGACAGTTGTGTACCAGTAAATGCACTGCTGTGTTTGATTTGTCTTCTGACGGCGAAAAAGGAAAATCAGATCAATAAACTTGCAGGTAGTATTTTTTTCCCTTTGTTCTGTGGTTTTGTTCATTTTGTGTAAAATAGAAGTGAAGAGGGATCGGTGCCTACTGCAGTCGTCACTTTCCTCCACCTTACAGGAAGGCTGTCCTGGGACAGTGGTCAGTGCTGAGCTGGCTGTTGGTTTTGGTTTCTTTTAGATGTGACCCAAACTGTTTGGATGAATCAGAGTGTTTGTGCGTTTGAGGTCACTGAAGCTGGATGTGGCCACTAACTCGGCAGCTAGTCGTCGCCATCTTTGATCTGCACCCTCTTAGTGACTTTTTGGTAATTTACGCCTCACTAAGGTCAAAATACATTAGAGGCCAGTGCTGTAGTATCCAAACTTGGATGACATTTAGTGGGATTTAATAAACTCACCCTCTTAATTTAAGAGGGCTTAGTTGTTCTGTTGAAGGACAAAGTTTTTGTCCTGAACTCGGCGCAGAGTGACTGGCGTGACCTCTTTGAGTGTTCCCTGCAGAGTAAATACACAGATATCTGTGGTTTGAAGAATCTGTGTTCTCATTTTAAAGAGTGGCATCTAGCCATCCTGCTTCAACAGCAAACAGTCTCAAAGTACATCTGATTTATCACTTAGGGATCCAACTAAGGTTTGTGTTGGATCCTTTTTATTGGTGCAGTTATCAGTGATGAGGCAGTGGAGCTGAATGTGTGTACAGTTCTGTTTTTGGTCAGAATGTGGGATCATACCATCTGATTAAAGTCTTGGAAGTAAAATATATTTTGCTTTAAGAGGAACCTTTAATTCAGTCAGATGGGTGATTACACTTTAAATTAGGGCTGCAACTAACGATTATTTTCATAATCTATTAATCTGTCGATTATTTTTTCGATTAATCGATTAATCGGTTTGTTATTGTTTAGCTATTTAACCTATACAAGTGATGGATGCATTTCAGTTAAGAAAAAAAAACATAAGAGAATTGTGCAGTTGACTGCAATCTATTTTATTGCACATGAACACAGTCAGCAGTATAAAATGAGCTAAACAGTGCAAAATATCAGTCCAGAATAATTTTTTAGCATTAGTTGGAAGCCTGCTCCTTCCACCATGGATAGTGGCCTCATGTCTTTTACCAGCATGTTTAGAATAGAGTTTGTAAGTGGTATGAATTGCTGGGGGGTGAGTGTCTTGTTCCCCATGTAGTTGTCCATCGTTGCTTGTTTTTTTTTTCTGCATAAGAAACACAAATAGACTGAAATAAGTACACATATAAAATAAAGCAGCACACACACTACAACACTAAATCAATATTATATTATTTGAATTAATTAACAATATACAGTGATCATTTATTTTGAGGGTTACGTTCTACAAAATAGCCCGCAACAGGAGATATTCAGAAAAAATTCTAATTTTTTTACTATTAAAAAGCTCTAATTTTTTTACTATTAAAAAGCTCTAAGTAAGAAGCTCATGAGGTTTTTACTTTGAGTCGAGAGTGTTTAAATTGGCTAGAGATATGTGAAAAATGTTTATTTTGTGTAATACTGTTTAAGAAA